AACTCGTCACTGAGGACGAGTTTGGTGATCCGCCGTACTTTAACCCTCACGAAGCACGCACGGTTCTGATTGAAAAGTATTATATGCTAAAACATGCTCTATTCAGTTTTTAAAAAGAGTAATTTTGAGCATTTAAGGACTTAGAAATGTATACACATATGTCTTAACGTCCGTGCGCACGGTAATGACATTAATACAGTGTCACAAACCCAAAACATGTAACCGAAACGTAATTTCCACCTTCAGTACATGCTGTGGGCGTGGAAATGAGCGTACGGCGCGTAAATTATGGAAAGTATTGAAATACTGAAAATGACCAGAAACGTGCTTTAAATTATCTGAAAAGTGATATTAACAATTTTAAAATTTTAACGCACAAGTACGAATACCTTTTACGACGTGCCTGAGGACGGTAATGGCACATGAATTTAAACCTTGTCAAGTTCAATTTAAAACCCCCTGTTGGTTGGTAATGCCACACAAATTTTCCTTTTAGAGTATATGAACTATATATCGGTCTGATGGCGTCGAAATACAGTCTGCCGCCCTCTATTTTAAAATTGTTTAATCTTTTAAGAAAAAAGATGAGAAGGCTCCAAAAAAATAAAGCGACACTTCTGAAAGAGAATTGTCTCAGCTATAACATACTCACTAGTGGAAGACAATCGATCAAGAATAAGCAAGATACGTTCAAATAAGTTGAAAAATAATGACGTCATAAATAAAATTTCAGTTTTTTAAAAATTAGATAGCAATATGATGACGTCACAATGTCCGATCAGCCATAATGATCTATGAAATCATATCTACAATTAATGTGCTTTCAGAATATGTAATAAAAATTAGGGGTTACCTTTCATCCTAAGGAGCTATAACTGATTAAAAGTAGGCATAATTTTAAGTATACATAATTGTTGATGTAAGCGTACGCGCACGTTAATTTGCGCGAACGGAAAATTAAGGTACCTGACATTCAACCTTGACCTGAAGATTATGCTCACTTAATATGATTCAGAAATGTCGAATGGTTAAGATGATATGGGTTCATCAACGTTTTGAGGAAAGAAAGATGTGGGGGTTCAGAAAAAACAATTTTTTTGACCATGATGACGTCATCAAAATGTAAAAGGAAATCAAATATATTAAAGAGGATTGTCTCAGCTATAACATACTCAAAGTTGGAAGACGATCGATCAAGGATAAGCGAGATACGCTCAAAAATGTATTTTCAAAAATGACGTCATAGCTATAATTCACTTTCTTTTAATTCAGATGCCAGTATGACGATGTCACGATGTCCGATCAGCCATTATGATCTATAAAATCAAATTTATAACTTATGTGCTTTCAGAATATGTAATAAGAATTGGTGTCACCATTAATGCTAAGGAGCTATAACTGAATTAAAAATAGGCCTGATTTTAGCATATTTTCACTGTATATCGGCACAAATCTGCGGAAAGATACCTATATTTGATGCGCACGTACTGCATTGCTATTGGCCATAAGATGACCAAAAAGAATGGAAATTTGTGAAAACAATGTCAGGAACCCAAATTATTAGAAAAAACATAATGTTTAGCTTCCGTACGTGCTGCGCGCAAAAAAATGCGCGCGCGTAGTGGAAAATTTCAAAAAATTTTGAAATGCTCAAAATGGCCTGAAACGTGCTCTAATTTAGTCAAAAAGTGATTTTGAGCTTTTTAAAAATTTGACGCGCGCGTAATGAAGCGCATGCATAAAATTAAGATACAGTACATTCAACATTAAACCGAAGTTAATGCTCACTTAATACGATTTTGAAATGGCAATTGGTTAGGCTGATATGACTGATAATGTAAAAACGCAAAATTGCGCGTAGATGACGTCACGCATGACTGAGTGCGTTGAAAAGCTTACCATGACTATTCCCGACCAAGCCAAATGTTGGTTGACAGTGGTTGTGCGTAACTCGTAGCATTTTTTGAGATATCGTGCGAACAACAAAATGGGGAGAAATGTAGTACTATCACAAGAGGTGATCCGCTCGTGAAGCAGATCACCAATAATTATGAGAGAATGACGCATATTTATGCTGGATTACCCTCTCATTTTCACCAACCTCTTTCCTATCATGACTCTCGTCATTATGATTTTCAAGTACAGAAGTCGTTATCTACTTTGCTAACTTCCATAGCCCAGGTATATCTTTTGTTTTTTTGCCTAGACTGCATAGTACATTCACCATAGCCTAGGCAAATGTATTTTTACATTGTAAGACAATACAATATGACCTCCTTAGCCCTGGTAAATGTATTTTTAACCTGGTCAGACAACAGAGTGCAATGACAGCATTAATTACCTGTAATAGTCCCAGTTGCAGTGAAATATTAACCCCAAAGTCTGTTGACCTACTATTGGTATAATTACTTGGAAAAGAATTCATACAGTATGTTGACCCAGTAAAGAACATGTCCAGCAGAAATGAAAAGTGCATTTAATGTACTTTTGTAGGCCTGATTTCAATCTCATAATGTAGAACAGGCTTTTATATGTAAGTTCTTTCATTCATACGAAGATGCAACGAATATAAAATAAGGAAAAGAAATTTGTTTTAGTTATGGTTATTAGATTATCATGAACATGAATATCACCATATTTTCTTAATCATCACCATATAGTAATCACCAATACCATGATCATCATCATCATATATCACCATAATTATAATATTTATCTACTTTATAACAAATTTCATCTTCTAAATTAATAATGCAATGTCTTGATCTTTCAGCTTAAAGAGCGTTACAACCACGACTGCAGTAAATGCAATCATCCGCCAGGATTCCCAACATCGGAGAAGCCACCGAAGGAGCTAGATTACTCAAAGCCATTGGACACAATGAAGATGTGGACCTTTTTCTCGAGTAAATTCACCAGTCAAATTACACGTATCGTCAACTTTGCCAAGAAAATTCCTGGTTTCAAGAATTTAAATCGTGAAGACCAAATCACACTGATTAAAACCGGGTTATTTGAAGTCGCTACCATCAGGTTCTCGACTGTCGCGAATGTCAGCAATGGGATGGTGTACTGGTGGACGACAGGTGACATGTTCTCCTTAAAAGACACGCATGAAATGCCATTAGGGAACTTGTTTGATCTCCTGTTTGACTTCTCGGCACGTGTCAATCAAATGCTGCTAGAAGACAGTGAATATGCCTTGTTGTCTGCAGTTGTCATTATGTCACCAGGTGAGAGAACTTTGTTTTAAGGCTTGTAGTTTTAAATGCATATTACACTGTGTCAAAGGTCAATTTATAAAATCAAGTCATATCACATATGTATTATATGAATATTATATAGTTTTATTAACAATGTATGAAGATTGGTTAAAATATCATAAAGACAAACAACTGTTAGTAAATTTTAAAAGTAAATTTTTAAAGATGATTTTTGTCTATATACCTTGACATTTGACCTAGTGATGTGCAATAACTTTATGAGAAGGTTTATTATGTGCTTTTTAATCCAGGGTTTCATAAAAGGATTAAGTTTAGCTCTGTGCTATTCTTTAAAGGTGATCAAGTAATTTATGCAGGGAAACTTGTGGTTGTTGCTGCACCATTTGAATTGGTATACCAACCTGTTGAAAAAGAGTTTGTATACATTAGTGGT